GAGTAGAGTAGAGTAGAGTAGAGTAGAGTAGAGTAGAGTAGAGTAGAGTAGAATCAAGAATAGAATAGAATCAAGAATAGAGTAGAGTAGAGTAGAGTAGAGTAGAGTAGAGTAGAGTAGAGTAAAACAGAATATAATAAGGAATAGAATAGAGTAGAGTAGAGTGGGTTTGAAGAGAAGAGAACCATGAGAATAGAATAAAATAGACTAGACTAGAATAAGCTGGATGAAGGTCTTCTAGTCCAGCCCCTGCTCAAGTAGAAGAGCCCATACTATCTTACACAAGTGACAGTCCAGTCTCTTCTTAAAATCCTCCAGTGTTGGAGCACCCACGATTTCTGGAGGCAACTTCTGTTTCACTGGTTAATTGTCCTCAATGTTAGGAAGTTTCTCCTTAATTCCAGGTTGCTTCTCTCTTTGATTACTTTCCAACTATTGTTTCTTCTCCTGCCCTCAGGTGCTTTGAAGAATAATTTGACCCCAACTCTTCTTTGTGGCAGCCCCTCAAACACTGGAGTACTGCTATCAGGTCACCCCTAATTCTTATTTTCCGTAGACTACCCAAACCCAAATCCTGCAGCCGTTCTTCATACATTTTAGTCTCCAGGCCTTTGATCATCTTAGTTGCTCTTCTCTTGAACTTTTTTCCAAAGTCTCAACAACTTTTTTGTAGTGTGGTGACCAAAATTGGTTGCAGTATTCCAGGTGTGGTCTTACTAGGGCTTTATAAAGTGGTACTAGTACTTCACGTGATCTTGATTCAATGGGGCTGTTTATACAGCTAAGACTTTCCCTGAGCTCATCTTTTGATGATCCCCCCTCATCAGGGAGAACTCAATGTATGAACTAGATCATGGTGGCTTGTTCAAACAAACCTCGGCTGAGCCTGATTGGGGGAATTAGCAGGATTATTCCTGAAGGGCTCGTGTCTTTCTAGTTCTTTAATCCAGCTTGGAATTCAGAAATGGGTGTAAGGCAAGATGATCCAGGTGCCAGTTCCTTTGATATAAACCTATAAAAATGGCCTCCGAAAACATTTCAAGCAGACATATAAGGATGAGGCATGGCAGTTACCTAGATTTGTAGAGTATTAAATCATCTTTATAAAACACTTTGCCAGCCGGGATGAAAAGAAAGGAACACAAAATCCGGTGTCTCCCTGACAAAGCCATTTGTCTGCCTCAGTGTAAGTGGGGGCGGGCGGGGGGAACCTTCATTAATATACACACAGATGTACGCACGCACCGGCTGACACACACAATGAAGAAACAATGTCAAAGAGAATAAAAGCCTTTGATTTTGAGTATGAAGCAGAAAAGAAATTACATGTCATAAAAAGGCGTTAACAGCTTCAGCCTCTAATGTAGTTGCTGTTTTTTCTCTCTTTGCAATAAGGATGCCTTTTTATTTTATTATTTTTAACGCTGTAACACACACACACACACTCCAAAGCCAAGCAGAATACCCCAAAAACTTCTGTAGCATTGACTTCGCAGTGCAGAGATAAAAAGTGGTGGTGCTAAATCCAATAATTTAGACCCCTCGAATTCTCTGGAGGTCTCCCATTAATGGAGCAAGACAGGGGTTCCAACATGGCTGGCTGGGGAATTCTGGGAATTGAAGTCCACATGTCTTAAAGACTTTCTAGCTTCTGAATCCAGATACCTCGTAAGCAAACAGATCTTCTCTTGTGTGTCCGCATGTGTCCCATTGCCAAATGGACGTAACTGGTCTCTCTTGCACAGATATAGGTCTTCTTCAGATGCATCTAGCACCCTTTTGTAGGAAGTTCTTTTGGCTTGGTAGATGGCTGAGGAACCCATATAGGACAGGGTAGAAGTCATATGAAGTCTAGATGACTTTAATAACTTATTTGATTATGAGGGCGAGCTTTAAGCACTGGGTTTAGTTTGGACTTAGTACATTTGGTGATCTCTGCCACTTGGGAAGATACACCAGGTTTGTTCCAAAGGAGCTTTTTCAAAAGGCAACTGAACTTCCTTCTTCTTCTTCTTCTTCTTCTTCTTCTTCTTCTTCTTCTTCTTCTTCTTCTTCTTCTTCTTCTTCTTCTTCTTCTTCTTCTTCTTCTTCTTCTTCTTCTTCTTCTTCTTCTTCTTCTTCTTCTTCTTCTTCTCCTCCTCCTCCTCCTCCTCCTCCTCCTCCTCCTCCTCCTCCTCCTCCTTCTTCTTCTTCTTCTTCTTCTTCTTCTCCCCCTTCCCCTTCCCCTTCCCCTCCTCCTCCTCCTCCTCGTCCTCCTCCTCCTCCTCCTCCTGGAAGGCTAATATTCCGACAGGACTTTGTCCGTCTTGAACCCAGTTGTTAATTTAGCGCCTCCGCCAGCAGAAAAGTGTGCAAGCGGCTGGGCTCAATTGCTGAACCTTTTGAAAATCTTGACTCCTATGACTCTGTGTTTCTTGGGGTGGGGTGGGATTAATTTGATCCAGAATCTACAAAGGGAGCTTTAATTTTCAGGGAGTGGGGAGGACGGGTAGGAAGGGGAAAGGCAGCGGGGAAGAGAAGATAACGCTTAAGACGGAAAGAAATGTCAGCCCACCATAGGTGGCAGCAAGGTTTGCAGCCCCTCCTGATGCAACTTTTCACAGGGTATAGTGGTGGGATTCAAATTTTTTTACTCCTGGTTCTGTGGGCGTGGCCTGGTCTGCATGGCAGGGGAAAGATACTGCTAAATCTGCATTCCCTCTGAAAGGACATATTGACATGAATCAATCTAACCTCTGCTCTTTGCTTCTGTTAAAGAAGCTGCTTGTACTATTTTGCTAAGGATGGAAATCATTTGTTAGGAATTCATCTGTAAGAGACTTGCATCCTTTTCTATCTGGTTTCTCGCCTCTACTCAAAATTTCTGCTACCGGTTCTCCAGAACTGGTCAGAACCTGCTGAAGACCACCTCTGACAGGGTGTTTCTGCAGGGAGTGCAACATTCAGCAAAGGTTGGGTCCACGAGGAGAGGGTGTCCACCTGGGCTGAATTTGTGGCTAATATTCAAATGCTTCAAAAATAGATCCGTTTGGTTTTAAGCCAGGGTGAAAGATGAGGAACGGGCATGCTTGAGCTACAGGGACTGAGTTCACATGTCACGCATCTGAGCCACGGGATAAGAATATCACGTTCTGTGCCTCTTGCATCTTAAAAGGACCTTGGCTCTGTTGCTTGCATAGAGGTGGTCCTTGACTTACTAGTCCCTTAATGACTATGTAAAGTTATATAGCCTTCCCTAGGGTTACTTATGACCTGGATTTGAAGGTCTGAGGAATGCCCCACCTGGTCATGTGATTGAATTTTCCACACTCGACAACCAGCCTTCCTTTCACAGCCTCCTGTAGCCACATGACCACCATTTAACATGTATTTTTTGCAGGAAACTCATATTTACTTCCAGTTTCTGGGTCACACCCCCCACCCCCCCGTTGGTCATTGCAGAGAGCACCTTTGATATTTAGTGGATATGTAAGTTTAAGTTACTCTCCATAACACAGGAGCTGCATTCACAACCAACTCTCCCTACCTAAGCTATCAAATTCACCTTGTAATAAAACATTCACAAATTGAGTTGACCCTGAATAGTGACAGGGGGGAGGAACGGGACAGGAATCAAGAAAACCACATAGTTTATATTTACTTGCCGTATCTCAAGGATAGCATAGCCAGCCATGCTGATCTACTCCTTAGGAAATATTGAATAAAAATAACCAAAGGCATTCCAATGTCATGCTAGAATTTCCACTGTGTCTGCCTTTTTCTTTCTGGTGTTTTTGTAGTGTAGTGGACCAAAGGTATATAGATGTGGTTCTGGGTTTGCTGAGGGCTGTTCAGCAAATATGCTTTGATGCGAGCCCAGCGATTTACTTTAGGTTCAGTGCTTTTCAATTTTAAGATAGGTGGACTTCAACTCCCGGAATTCTGGGAGTTAAAAGTCAATCTTTACCAGCTAGAAAATTCTGGGGATTGAAATCAACACATCTCAAAGTGGACAAATTTGAAAAGCACCGTTGCTATTGCTTGCATACTTTAATGGATTTGCGTTGCATTGAATTTAAGTGAAGCAATTTTTGGTTGCCACAAGGGGAAAATAGGCAACCCTGATTTTTTGTGTGTGTATCAGATCAAACAAGTGGGTCATGAAATTGCAGGATTCAATACCTTTTCTTCCCCTTTTTCTTTTTCCTGAGATGGTGTTTGGCTTGGATCACAGCACCAGATTTATTCCAACATTCCCGGGGAGAAGGACGGGTTAAGAAATATGAAATATCAATAAATAAGCAGGACACAATCTGCAGGGAAGCAAGCTTTATTAGACTAAGTTTGCAGTCCATCCCCTTCCACAGCTTTAGCCCCCTCCAGGCGTTAGAATGGCAACTCCCATCATCCTCAGCCACAACTATGGTACCTATATTCCTGGCATGGCCCCTTTAAATCTGGGCATGGGTGGGCGGAGCCTAGCGCAACTCTTCCGCCACTCCCAGCAAGGCGGCGGCCCCGGCGAGGCCACGCCCAGCGTTGGCCCGTCGGTGACGTCATCATTCGACGGCTCCAGCCCCGTTCTTTTTCTCTTTTCATTGGCCGCCAAGAAACAGGCCCTCCGGAGGCGGCCAATCGTCTTTGGCGACCTTTCAAGGAGGGAGGCGGGAGGCTCTTCCCACCCCTTTTCGCCCCCCCCCCCTCCCCGCTAATCCTTCCAGTATTTCTCCCTCTCGCCTCGCCCGAGGAGCGGACTCGGAGGGCAGCGCGAGGCACGGCCGGGCAAGAGGCGGGGGGGTGTGTAGCATGCGCCCCTGGAGCCGTTGCCGGGCGACCCTGCGGCACCTCTTCCGCCTCCTCGCGCGCGGCTCCCCTCCTTCCGGCCGGCCGCGGCCTAGCGCCGTCGCCATGGCAACCGAGGCCTTCCCGGGCCTAGACGAAGCGCTCCGCCAGGCCGTCCCGCCGCTGCCTCCTTACGAGACTCGCGAGAAAGCGGCGGCGCCGGCCGGGGCGGCGCTGGAGCAGCGGAGCGCCGAGTTCATGCGCTTCTACCGGGCTCTGGACGGCGGCGGGTCGCGGCGGGCCGAGCTGCTGAGGCGCCTGGCGGGCGACTTCGGCGTGGACCACGGGCGGGTGGCGGAGAGCAGCGCTCGGGTGCTGCGGTTGCAGGAGGGCGAGCCCGGCGGGCTGCTGCAGGCCGAGGACCGGCTCCGCCACGCGCTGACCCCGCGCTACCGGGGCCTCTTCCAGCACCTGGCGAGGCAGGAGGGCGGGCTGCGCTTCCTGGTGGAGCTGCGCCGGGACCTGCTGGAGGCGATGGCCGCCAGGGACGCCCCGGGCCCGCACGTCCGGGTGAGAGCAGGCGGGGATTGCGCGGGACGGGCTGGGCTGGGCTGGCAGGGCTTCGGCAGGAGTGGGCTCCGGCCACCGGTGCCAGGTTGATGTCCAATAGGAGGAGCCGGGAGTGGCAATTGGGGTGGGTGGGGGTCAAGCCCAATTCAAGGTCTTGGGTGCTGGGCAGATGTTCAACAGGGGAGCTTCTGGTCACTGGTGCCATTCAACAGGAGGGGCTGGGAGTGGCAATTGGGGGGTGGGGGGAGAAGGCAAAGGTTCAACAGGTGTTTTGGTCATTGGTCCCAGGCGAAGGTTCAACAGGAAGGGCTGAGCCTGGAAATGGGGTCAGGCAGGTGTTCAACAGGGGAGCTTCTGGTCATTGATGTTAGGTTTATATTCAGCAGAGGGGCCGAGAGTGGCAATTGGGGGGTCAAGCAAAGGTTCGGCAGGGGGGGGGTGTTCTGGTCTTCGGTGCCAGGTTGACATTCAACAGGTGGGGCTGTGCTGGCCTTGGGGCCAGGCAGAGGTTCAGCTGGAGGGCTTCTGATCATCGGTGCATGGTTGACGTTTAACGGGAGGGACTGTTCAGTCAGGCAGAGGTTCTGCAGGAAAGTGCTGTGATGGTAATGATTCCATACAGATGTTTGGGAAGGAGGGAGGGTTGCCCTGGCAATGGTGTCAGGTAGGACCTCTACAGGTGGGGCTGTTGTGGCAGGAGTATGAAATCCCCCGCCTTGAGCAAGAGGTTGGACTAGAAGACCTCCCAGGCCCCTTCTGGTTCCTTGGATTCTCCCAGGTCCTTTCGATTCTCCCAGGTCCCTTGGATTCTAATGAGGCCAGGCCGAAGTTCAGTTGGGAAGGAGCTGCGGTAGTAAGGGTGCCAGACAGAGGTTCCACGGGGGCTGTGCTAAGCGATGGTGCCAGGCGTGCGTTCAACAGGTGGGATTGTTCCGACAGTAGGGCCAGTAGGTAGAGGTTCAACAGAAAGATGCTGCTCTAGGAATGATGCCAGGCAGATGTGCAACATCTGTTCTGGTAATTGGTGCCAGGTAGAAGCTAGGCGGATGTTCCACAGAAGACATTGTTCTGGCAGGTACAGGTTCAACAGGAAGGGACTGATCTTGTAATGAGGCTGTGCAGATGTGCAGTGGGGGGGGGCACAGATTTGGTCAAAATAATGAAATATATGCATATAATATGTGTGTATCATTCATTCTCTCTCTCTCTCTCTCTCTTTCTCTCTCTATATATATGCTGTATATATAGATCTATCTATCTATCTTATAGATATATTGACATAAAACTCTTGTGGTATTTGGTAATGGGAGGGATGGCATTTTCTAAAGATTTCTTTTTCCCAGTGGGCAAAAGTTTCAAAACTGTAAATATTTTTTATTTATTCCTGGTTTGTTTTGGAATAAAGTTCATTGGGGAACAGGACAGACACTTCAGCTTGTAACCGGAGAACAATATGTGTGGCCGTGTGCAGTGTTTGATACCCTTGAAAAAGTCAGGCAGAACTAGAGCAAAGTTTATCCATTCGTGCCAAATTTCTATGTGGCAGAACAGCACATGTTGTTGATGTGGGAGACAAGGCATTGCAGTGCTAAGAATAAAATTTGGCCTTGGCAAGGAACGTTGTGCTTCAGCCAGGAAAGGTGCATAATCTGGAAAAGTATGCAAGCCGTGTCCTTAACAAGTGCTTTGCTGTTTTTTTCTTCAATAGGGTTTGTGGTCAAAGTTATTCAGTTATACAATCGAGAGGCTGGTTGACTCCATAAGACTCTGGGTGGCTTACAAGGTTAACAGGAGAAAAAATCTAATAATTGCAAGAATAGGTCATGCACATCCAGAAGATATGCACTTGGCATTTAGTTGAACAAAATTATTTCTGTTCTGTATAGTATGTAGTTTAGTTGGCACTTATTATTTGACAGTAGTAGTTTTAATCTAACTCAGAAGATGATCAGATCTCTATTTTTTATTTTGTTGTTTGTGGTCTGTTTCTTGTGTTATCCTTTGTGACTGTGTTCTAGAGGTGAACTCTGGTTTATTTTTTACGGTTAGAGAAATTTCTTGCAAGAACCTGATACTATAATATTTCAGTTTAGCTGAGTATTTGTGTGTCATTGACATCTACCAACTTTTCAGTAGTTTTGTAACTTTAATTCAGCTTTTTTCTTTTTTTCTTTTAAAAACTGCCTTTTTCCAGCACTTTGTAGCAACCCGATGATGGTCCCAGAAGCAGACTGCATTAAGCATGCTTTTCTGTCTCTTTCATAATCCCGTGGCATCTCTTTTCAAAAGGCAAATTTTGTATAAGCTCCTTAGCACTGTGTTATCAGCGAAGGCAGCTTCGTCTATCTCTCAGACCTCCATCTAATGTTTTTTTTTTTCATTTGGTGTAATCTAAATAAGATCCTGCAGTTTGCCTTGAGATAAGGCAAGCTACAGGATATTCCAGAAAAAAAGAGCAATTAATTATTATTATTATTTGCTGAAATTGTTTTGAGGTGCCTTTTCGGAGCCCCATCTCAAGTTACCAATGTAGTAGGGCATGAGTGCACTGTTGGCAGGTCACCATACAAGATCACTGCAGAATTGTAACCTTTGCTCCACATTCCAGGTTCTTGAGTGAACCTGACAGCTGTTTTGGCAATGCCTTGATGTAGGATGAGCCCAGGAGCTAAGCAGGTTCACACACCCCTCTTATCTCAGACAATTGTGTTTAATGAGTTTGGGCTGGGAATGCAGAGAATTCCCAATGTCGTATTAAAAAAGGTTTGCTTTTACACACAGTTTCTCTTTTCTTAATTTGAACGAAGCCTGGGTCAGAACGGAGCCCGGCTTCCTCTGTTGACTTCGCTTGTCGGAAGCTGACTTGAAAAGTTCCAAATGGTGATCCTGTGTCCCTCGGACCTTGCAGCTGCTGCACATCCCTGCCTCTTGCTACGTGTCCAAATTTTGATCGTCTGACCACGGGAATGCTGCGGTGGTCGTGAGCACAAAGGCCACGCGCAAGTCACTTTTTCCAGTGCCGTTCAAGCAGCTGCCAAACGCATGGTTGTAAGTTGAGGACTACAGGTAGTCCTTTAATTAACAACAGTTCATTTAGTGACCATTCAAAGTTACAATGGCCCCGAAAAAAAGAGGCTTTAGGACCGTTTTTCACACTTTTGCAGCATCCCCATGGTTATGGGTTTGAAATTTAGACCCTTGGCAGCTGGTTCATATTTATGACGGGGTCAAGTCGTGAGTCCCTTTTGCGACCTTCGGACAAGCAAAATCAACGGGCAAAGCCAGGTTCACTTAACAACCGCGGGACTAATTTTAACAAGTGCAAAGATTCCCTTAGTGACTGTGGCAAGGTAACTCGTAAAATGGGTGGAAACCTCCCTTAACGAATGTTTCGAACATACATTTGGAGCTCGATTATGGTAGTAATTCGAGGACTTGCCTGCATTCGTATGTCGCAGTCATAAACAAGATTGGGAATTCGAACTGTTGAGAAACGACCCCAAACCGTACATGATTTGCAGCTCTGCTCCTTGCAAGAGGAAGAGTTAAGGTCTTCGAAGCTTAAGTTAGTTTGTGTTTAGCAAGCACATCCCTCCGATACTCAGGTGTCAGCAAGGAAGGTTGGCATTTTAAGGTTAAATAGCCAGTGGGATCAGGAGCAGCGGTGCAGGAAAACGACTTCGCTCCTTGGCGACTAGTTGCTAAGAAACAGTAAATGTCTTTCCTTGCCGAATTTGTGGTGGATGATAGATACCTGTGACCCAGGTGCAGGTGCTTCTGCTTAGGTATATCCAGTGGCAGAGTTCAGTGATGGAACATCTACTAAAAAAACCACATTTTTAAAAGAGGACAGAAAGTGCATCTGGGCAGCAGATCTGTTTTTATGTGTCTAGGAGACCTTACTTTTCTTCCTAGGCACGATGTCTCCTTAAGCCCTTTTTTTAAAGCTCATGGCCTATAAAGCTCTTAAGTGTCTGTCTGGGTAAAGCAGTCGTAAATGTGGACAGCACAAGAATACGCTGGTCTGCGCCCCCCCCCCCCCCCCCTGCCTCCGCTGAACCAAGTAGGGCTTTGTGAGTCAGGCAAGATTTTGGAAATTCTAGGGGACACTTCAATGACATTGAATTCACCAACTTTTTTTATCACTAGCATAGTTCTGTGAGGCACAATAAAAACTTTGAAAATAATGCTTTCAGTTAAGTTAAGATTCAGAAATGCTACGTTTGTGAACTACTTGTTGAGGAATAGGAATGGGGAGAGATGGCTCAGGAGGGTCAAAAAAACCCTGAGCTTGTCAGGTGGAAAGGTGCAGTTTGAGACCTGAGCTGCACAACGGGGTGAGCTCCCGTTACCTGCTTCAGCTCCTGCCCACCTAGCAGCTCATGCAAATGTGAGTAGATTAATAGGTACCACTTTGGTGGGAAGGTAACTGGGTCTATATGTCTTTGCCATATAGCCACGCTAGCCACAGGACCACAGAAAATGTGTCTGTCTTGTTAGGTTGCAGAACCGAACCAGACAGTTATAGAGGTGCAGATGATAGACTCAGTAATTCCTCTGAAGAATTATTGAGGAATATATACCTTAAAAACCTATGTATTATACTGTATTCCATGGCTGCCAAAGTAAACATATAATTGCTTATGTTCCTGCCTTTTTCTGAATGAAGGTAGTATAGTAGGAAGAAGAATGAACATCTTTGCATTTTTAATATGAGAAGGAATGACCTTTCACTATAAAATATTGTCTTTCATAAAGAAAGATTTAAGGAACTCCTCCTCCCCCTTGTCAAGAGAGGTGAAAATCTACAAGAATTGCAAATTTTCTGAGAAACCGTAGCTGAACCCCCTTTAAACCATCTCTTCTAACCCAGAAGGTTGCACATCTCTAGTTTATGGTATGCCATAAAACAGTTTGGAGCCAGTGTACAAATCCTAATTCTATAGTGGAGCAAAGTAAAGTATGTTTTATGATATAAAACCTTTCATTTTGAATTTTGGGAGATAATTCTTCAGGCGAAGAAAGCTCCCCAGTATATTTTGTTTAATACTTCTATTTATTTTAATAAAAGTATTGCCACAGATATACCCGCTTCACTCGGGTTGCTCTGAGATCGCAGTTTGTGAAATACATTTTTGTTGTTGTTTTTTCCAGTAAACCTCTTAAAAGGGGCGGTTGACTTGAGTTACTTTTCTTCTATGGAACATTTGTCAATCTAATGTGAAATTGTTGTTTTCTAAAACAGCAGCAGCAAGTCATTTTATGTTTGCTTGTTTAAATTGAGATGAATGGAAGATGAATGCAAAAACTGTTTATTTCATTCTGCTTCCAACCAATTTGCAAACACTTAGTTCAGCCTCTCATGGTTTTAGAAATTAATAACTATAACGTCTCTACTAACAAGGCAGTCGTGGAATAAGGAAGTGTAACTTGTAAAATCTTAGCAACAGGCTTCTAATTATTCTTTGTTCATCAGTTGGCCTAGGCTCTTTAGATTAGATCTTATATCATCTGTGCATATACACCAGTTATTTTAAAAGAAATTACACATAAATTATTTCTAAACTAATGCACATGACGTTAGAGAACAAAACTGGCATTCTTTTAAAACTTAGCAGCTACTCTAGAAAATGCTTTGGAGGTCTTTCATATTCTGGAAATCTGGTGCAATTATGAAATAAAATGTTTGTGTAGATGAGATTGTCTTGTCTGCAAGTCTTCCCCAACAGCTTTTAGATGTTGAGTGAAGAGATCTGTGTTGTTGCTGAAGCCTTAATAACTTCTCTTCTCTGCTTGTAGGAAATGAATGGAGTACTAAAGAACATGTTGTCAGAATGGTTTTCCACTGGATTCTTAACCTTGGAACGAGTTACGTGGCAGTCTCCCTGCGAGATTCTTCAGAAGATTAGCGAGTAAGTGCCAAAGATGGATGAGCCGTGTGGCACTTCCCCAAGTTAAAGCAATCTGGTGCCGCCCTGTTGGGGCCCACCGGTGGCTGATAGAGCTGGCAGCATAGTCAGACAGTAGTGAGGAGGTTGGGGAGGAACCTGGGCCAGTCTTGGAGGCTGAGGAGGGCTCGGACGAGGGCTCTGCATCAGAGTCAGGGATGGGGCCAGGGCAGGCTGGCAGTCATCAGCTGCTTTCAGACTCAGATAGCAGTGAGGCGGCGGAGTTTCTGGAACTGGTTCCCAGCCTGTGCATGCGCTACCAGAAGACAAGAACAATTGAGAAAGCAGGGTCGACTCAGGAGTAAGGCCACACCTCGGAGATGATTGGCCCCTCCCATAGGACATAAAAGAGGAGCGAAGGGGACGTGAGCTTTTGCAGGAAGCAATTAGTTCATCTGGTCGATCCAAGCTTTGAAAAGTTCTGTTGGACTCTGTCAAGTTTGGCCTTGCCCTGCATCTGGTCATTCGTTCTCTGGCCGCGTTGTGATAAGGTGGGTGCTTATAAACCTTCCCCTGAAAGACTGTTTGTGAAGCCTTGCAGGCTGGGAATGAATGTAATTCACAGCTTTGGAAATAAAAGAGGTTTTTCTGGCACTAAGATTGTGTTTTATGCTTTCTAAGGAAGCCTAGGTCAGAGCATATCTGATCTACATACCTCATCAATGTTACGTTGCTCTGCTGATTGTCCAGGGATAACCTTAAGTTTAAAAGAGCAGCAAAACCTGCAACCTTCCATCCTGTTTATGTATGTATTTATTTTTTAGTAGCGAAGCTGTGCATCCTGTTCGAAATTGGGTGGATATGAAGCGCCGTGTTGGGTCCTACAGGAGGTGTTACTATTTTGCCCACTGTGCAATACCTGGAGAACCCCTGATCGTTTTGCACGTCGCGCTTACCGATGAAATATCCAGCAATATCCAGGTACCCTTGTTTGGCTTTTACTTGGGACCAATCATAGCCTCAGATTTTAATCACAAGCGAATATTAAGAGGAAGGAAATTTTTTAAAAAAGCACCTCTGCTTAGAAAACAGCTTTATATGTCTTATGTAGATGAGCTCTATAAAAGTCCTTCCAGTTGCCCTTAAAAAATGCTTAGCGGCTTACATAGATGTCTGCCAGTTATTCCTAAACTAAAAAAAATATAAATGTTTAGCTTACAGGAAGCCTGTCAGCTATCCAAGGATGCTGGTTGAGCTGCTCCTTCAGTTGAGCTTCATGGCTATTTGCAAGGCCAAGCTGCACCTCTGACCTGTTTTTGCTTCCTAATGCCCCATTTCAGTTAGCAGCTGTAATGCTTTCTCAATCTCTGAAATTATGGTATGTTTCAAAAGAGTCTTGGGATGCAACTCACGAGAGAGAGAGAGAGAGAGCAAATACTCGGTTGGCAATCGGAGCCGAGCTGAGTGTGAAAAATCTTCCCCTCTCTGCTGTGAGCGTTGGACTGTGGAACGTGAATCAGCTGGAATTCAAACCCAGATTGCGGTCACTCATTATCTTAATCTTTCTCCAGACCATAGTAAAAGAGCCTCCCTCACAAGAAGCAGAAGATTTGGGCAGAATTACCACCGCAATTTTCTACTCCATCAGTTTGACTCAGCAGGGCCTGCAGGGCGTGGAGCTCGGCACGTATCTCATCAAGCGTGTTGTCAAAGAGTTGCAGGTAGGTGCAAAAAGGGATGTTGCCCTTGGAATTAAGCTAACTTACTTCCTTCCTTCCTTCCTTCCTTCCTTCCTTCCTTCCTTCCTTCCTTCCATCCATCCATCCATCCATCCATCCATCCATCCATCCATCCAACGGGTTATAAAATGCCCAGGTCTGCCTTAAACCAAGTAAGACAATTGAGTCCTTTAGCTCAGTGGGCTGTTAGAACTCAGGTGTCAATCTTCCAGGTCTATGAAATAACAGAATGACAGAGTTGGAAGAGACCTTGGTGGTCTTCTAATCTATATTCATTAATATTATCTCGTTCCTTAAATCAAAAGGAATTGGGTAACATTAAACACTTATACAAAACGTAGCCAGCTTTGGGGTAAGGTTGGGAACACGGTTTAACCTACGAAAATTGCACATGAAAATCTTTTGGGGTGACTTTTGAACCATCTATTAGGGCTCGAAGTAAACCTCTCCCAAATAGTTGTGGAAGATTGGGTTGTTTACTTAACATGAGTCCAAAGGGAGAGCACGTTTTGTTAAACTTTAGTTCTGAGGCAGCCGTTTTAGAAATTTGCTTTATTAAAAGTGCAGCTGCCTCATTTAAATACTAAACTAAATTACTTGGTACTGCTCCATTTGCTGGGGTTCATTCCCTTAGATATTAATGTATTGTAATACATTTCTCACGGTTGAATCTCAAATATCCTTTGGGGAATAAACAATGTGGGAAAAATAAGATATATCATTATTTGCTTTGTTTTCTCTCATCTATTTGATTAATTCCAAATCACTTAATTTCAAGCTTCTGTAACTTTTAATTTCCCCAGAAAAAGAACATATTATATTATTGCTGTCACGGATACATCAGGATGCAACGAGACAGGCTCTGGGCTTTTGAACTGCAGCGATTCAGATCTTAACTTTTTTAGATTTGACCTTTGGAAGCCGAATGAGGAAAACTTAAAATGGGAATTGGAATGTTTGTGAACACTGTGTCCTTAACGGGACACTAATACCAGTCAGATTGCCGAAAGCATAGATTTGGCCATGGCAACAACATCTCTTTTAATCTAGTTTTTATTTCTGTCTGGGTCTCAGATGAGCAACACTCTACAGGCAGTCCTTGACTTACGACAGTTCATTTAGTGACCATTCAAAGTTACAAAGGCCATAAGCCTGAGGACTACCTGGATTGTAAACGCTCCTTCTCAGAACAGCAGAAGAGAGCAGTAAATCTGATTCATTCTAGGGCAGCTGATGAGCTTGTTGCTAATCAAGACATGTTTTGTCTACCTTTGTAAAGATGCTAGTATATTTTGCCTCTGTATTTCATGAATAAAACAATTCCCGCCTCCTTTGCCAGACACATTGTACATAACTGATAAGCTGAGTTCACATTTTTGACATCATTTGTTAAAGAAGCTATAATGGATTGGTTCCCACACAAAACCAAGCTGTAATGAGTGCATTCACACACCTTAGAAGCTAAAAACAAACACACCGCATAATAGCTTAGAGATAATATGGGGCCAATGTGTTGGTTTTATGCAGTCCTAATTTATTTTTCCAGCAGCTTATGAACTTCATATTTTGTGAAGAATAGGGATTTCAGCATAATGTACACCTTGGGGCCTCCAGGCCGGTCTATTGGTGTCTGGGTTTTTTTTAATGTAAAATGTCCTGTTTTTAGATGGCAGAAAATGCAATTTAGACATCATTTTCTTAAAGCTTTCTCCTTGTTGGAAAAAAAAATTGAGAAAAGACTCCAGCAGAACAAGGAAATGCATTTATTTTGCTTTTATATCATCGCTATAGTTAACACTGGAGGCGAAATAGCCTTGGGTTCCTCAAATACAAGACACACGTTAGGAATGTGTTTCTCAAATTTTAAGAAATATAAAGGCAAAATGAGGTACAACATCTGTTTCTTGGAAAGGTAGCTGAGTGTTACAGTTGTTCAGCTGCTCAGTTGTTAAATTTGAAGTGCTAGAAATGGGAGGGGGAGGTTTTTATCTCCTGAAGAAATCTGTGTCTCTACAGATTTCCCAGGGCCGAAGAAAAATTAAAAATCCTTGAAAGTACATGCAGTATCCGTGAGAAAATGGTTAATCAAAGCTTTAGAGATGCTTTGTAGGTAGTTTTACTGCTTTGCAAATTGCGAGTATAGTGTTTGGGCAGATGGCATTTTATTAGGCAGAAATGAAGAAATCCTAAGATGAAATGCTTTCTTTCTGCAGCAGGTTCTGAAATGAAACGCATAGAAACAATAACCTGCTGATGAAAATAGCCTCATCTCAAACCTGCTTGTACTTGCTGCTTTAAATGTTTGGCATTGTTGTGATTTTCATCCTCGTTCAGCCATATCCAAAATCTGTTTTTTTTTTTTTTTCTTTCAAACACCTTGAAAATCCGCAGGTTGAATTTCCTCAGATCCACACCTTCTCCACCTTGTCTCCCATCCCGGGGTTCACCAAGTGGCTGGTTGGGCTGCTGTGCTCCCAATCCAACGAACTGGGCAGGGGAAACCCTTTCACTGGCCCCGAGATGCAAGAAATTTCAGAGATCGCGGGATCGCCCCCGGCTGAGAAACTGAAGCGGCTTTTCACGAACAATGGGTGGGTGAAATCAGAAAAGCTGGCCGGGGTCTTACAGCAGCCCCTCATGAGGCTTTGCGCCTGGTATCTCTATGGAGAGAAGCACCGGGGCTACGCGCTCAACCCCGTGGCCAACTTCCACCTCCAGAATGGCGCGGTGCTATGGCGCCTGAACTGGATGGCCGACGCCAGTCCCCGTGGCTTGACGGCCTCCTGTGGCATGATGGTCAACTACCGCTACTTCTTGGAGGACACGACGGCCAACAGCGCCACCTACCTGGGAACGAAGCAAATCAAAGCCTCAGAGCAGCTTCTCTCCTTGGTGTCCCAGTTTCAGCAGAGCAGCAAACTTTGAGCGAGCGAAGAGCCGTTCTGGCTAAACGGGAATCTTGGCTTGGCTGGGGCCCAGCGAGAGGTGGGCTGCTGAGGAACCTTCTGGATCTCATCAGGATCTGCGGTCCTGGGTTCTCCCTGCCTTACGCTGCCCGAAGAAGAAAACCGCACCGTTCCTCGTGCTTGATTGACCTCACCTTAGATAAGCGGTGGGGATTTACTGGTGGTTTCCGTGAAGAGCGTGTTGTCCCTTGTTCTTGGTAGATCAATAGTCTTGTTTAACCTGCATCATTTGACAGCACTGTTGAACCCCTGGATGCCCTTGGACATTAAAGGGATCAATATCAGTGTTCCTAAAAAAAGGGGACAAGCAAGGAAGAACATTTTTCGCCCAGCTGGGAAAACAAAACAGCATATTTTTAACATTTCTTCAAGGACTGTTTTTTCTTTTTTTCTTTTTCTGCTGTGCTGAATTCCTGGATTAGGTTGTCTAAATGGTGTAGGGTCTCCTGTTTAAACAAGGGGTTGGACTAGATTACTTCCAAGGTTCCTTTCAACTCTGTTATTCTATTATATTCCATCTCAAGGGCTTTGGGGACAACAGTTGCATGGAAATGAAGTCTTTGCTGCTACCAAACGGTTTACAAACAATAGCAATTCAGCCATAACTGGCTTGTTGCAGAAAATTTGGGAGCATAATATTTAAAAATATATTAAATTAAGGAAGCAAGAAACATAGGCCATTAAAACCTAAGGTTTACCATGTCCCAGAACCCTTGTCTTGTCTGCGGTACGATTATTTGACGGCTTTGTGCCTTAGCATTTTTAGGAAAAGCATCCAATTCTCTTAGATGGATGATCACTGCTACGGATTACAGATAACCAAGTGGTTTGCCTTGATTAGGCTCAAAGTGAGGAGAATTTGCTATCTCTCCCTTAATGTGTATGCATCAGCATTTTAACTTAGGAAGCTGAGGGTGTTCCTGAGTTATTTGCTTAAGTTCTGGGGGGGTTTCTCGAGTTCTTTTCGGGAATAATGGCAAATTGGATTTATAGAGTTGAACCAGGAGACATTGTAACATTCATCAGCGAACAAAGGAACATGCTGGAGAATGGCAATATCCTAATTAAAATTGCATGTTCCTACTTGTCGGGGACGAAAAGCATAGTTGAGCAGAAGCATTAAAAGGGAATTAGTAAACGAGCTTTGATGCTCAACTCAGGGTGGGATCTTGAAAAAGCTGCCAAAAGAAAGCCCAACATCTGGTAGTTTTGTCAGTGAGGGAAAAACCACAACCAAAGAGGGAAAACCAAGTATGAAGTTCCAGAATGGGATTGGGACAATTTGCAGCTTCGTCTCCCTTATTCCTAAATAGATAATCTGAAATTGAATAAGTGAAGGAACAGAATGTGCAAAATTTATATTTAAGGGTTGATATTAATGATCATTTATAATATTTATCTGGGTTGCAGCCCTGTCTTCTGGTTCATAGATAAGATAGTATGAAAACAAACAACCAAAGGACTAGGATCTGCCAAGTTTATATTTCACAGTTGGTATCTCAGACATCTCAGCTGGTTATTAAAATGGCATAATAACGTCCAAAGTGCCTTTCCCCGCTCCTCTCAGAGATTGGAAGAAACGGTCTGGTTAAAAACAGAATAAACTGTGTCACAATAAAACTCTCGAGTTTTTCTTTTGATTTTCTCCATTACCTGCCGCACGCCAACATCACAATAATCTCCCTGCAGATAATAGACATAATTTTCCACTCTTCTCGGGAACTTAGGTCTAAATTTATGTACTCTTGTTGTTGCCTGGTCTCAGAAATGAATTTTGTTGTGCAACAGAGTAAGTGGTCCCACTGAGCCTTTTCATTTGGCTTCCTTCAAATCACACCATGCACATCTTTAGTACATTTGCTTAATAATCTCTTACATACCGTATGTCTTTATAATGTGGCGGCAGCTGAACTGAATTCCTTCCTCTTTTTCTCCTCATTTCTGCTAGAGACCTTAAAATGGACCCAAAGTATCTGGTGATGTGAATGTTTGATCTGAGGCTGGTTTTGTAGCAGCCTGGAAGAGATTTGTAAGTGCAATCTCTTTCCTTGCGCAAAGAATGGCCCTTACTGCCTTGACAAAGGCTTAGCCTGAAACTTCTTAAGGCTCAACTGCCTGCCGAGTGATTTAGCTACAAATAAAGGGGTGCAGAACTCCCAAAAGCCATACCTGTAATCGGAAAGGTTTTGAGCCATCTAGTTAAGAGTTTCAAAAATTATGGCCTTTAAAAGTGAAGTCAGTAAACCCGAATTTACACTCCTTGGAAGCCCAGTAAAATCTTGATCCAAAGAATTGTCCAGATTTCTTGACCTTTTTGCATTGTCCAATTCCAGAAACTATTTGTGCGTCCGGGCAGAATTTAGCACCCATCATTTTTAATGCTAAAGCAGCCACTTTGCTCTTGGTTTAATTTCAGTGCGCTGCAGGCTCTCAATCACTAAAAGACGACTCTAGAAATGCTTAAATGAACCTTAATGGTGGCTTGAATGTGGGAAGAGGGCATTAAAGAACGAACCCTGGGCTCTTCTCACCTTCCAATTAGCCACCCAAACGACATTTTGAAAGGTGTTAAAAAATAATAATGGTCAGCCGTCTGAATGAAACTATCTAAATATGCATTGAATTAGGCGTTGTGAATCAAGATGATAAAAGGAAACCTTAGTTTGCAATTTTTTTTGGTTCAATTCTGTCTCCCTTGCTCGCTGGAAGGAAAGAAACAGGAAATTGTATGGGTGTTTACATACATATTAGTTCTACCATGTGAATTGAATGGGACATGTTTTCAAGAGCAGACGAGTGTTTTACACATAGAGGTTTAAGGGTGCAATTAAGTAAGGAGTCCAGCCCCGTTAAATTCAGGTCAAGAGGTGGTCCTGGATAAATTCTGAAGGTTGGTTTGTTTCCAAATATCCAGAGAGCTGTACTGTTCAATTGGGGATGGGAATAATGCTTTCTTTGCACATAGCTCCGTGTGGGTATTTGTGTGTGGGTGGTGGTGGTGGTGGTGGTGGGGTCCACAGTCCTTTGGATTAATCCATTGATTATTTGTTCTCACTGTCAGGAAATGTCTCCTTAGTTCTAAGTTGCTTCTCTCCTTGATTAGTTTCCATCTGTTGCTTCTCGTCCTGCCTTCTGGGGCTTTGGAGCATCAGAACATTAAATATGGTAAAGTAGAGGAAGCCAAACCAAGATTTATGGAACCGTTGACCCCATAGGCATATGGGGGACTCTATTATGTGAACCGCACAGCTCACCTCAACAGTGTCAGGATTCCGGCAGTTACCCCCATTTAAATCATGAGTCTCGAGCCAAACTTCCAAAACTTAAAAAGGATTTATGTCCGGCGTTGCCTGGGTGTAGGCCACTGTGAGACATGTCATACCTTGTCCCCCTTGACCCTGGTTTCTCCCCCCCCACCCCCTGGGTGTATTGTAATTCATATTCTCCAATGGGACACATCCATAGCCAAGAGTCATCAATCATACTCTCCAGTTAGACTTTTGCATGGCAGAAACTTCGGTCACCTAGTTACTATCTTTGAAAATATTTATGGAATGCAGTTTCAGTTTGCAAGCGGCTGCACTGCTCCCCCTGTCTTTCTATTGGCAAAGACCATAGAAATATTTTATGAGTTGACAAACAGATCTGTAGATTTGATGGATTCGTGAATCCATAAAAGCATGTTTTGGGGCAACAGTTATAAGTCAAAAGAGCTGCTATCAGACTCCTGATTTTGGGCTACCATACACTAACACAATTCTCCTTACAACTATCCCAGCACTTGACAGGTGTGTAAAAATGCCAAATCCAGTCTAAACATCTGGCCGATTGTGCACTGAACCAGGTAGCCCTTGACTTACAACAGTACGTCTAGTGATCGTTCAAAAGTTACAACGGCACTGAAAAAAGGGACTTTTGACCATTTTCCACACTTAAATTGCAGCATCCTCAGGGTTTGCGTGATCACCTTTGGCAACCGACTCATATTTATGATGGTTGCAGTGTCACGTGATCCCCTTTTGCGACCTTCAGACCAGCAAAGTCCATGGGGAAGCTGGAGTCATTTAACAACGGTGTCACTACCTTAACAACTGCAGTGATTCACTTGTCAGGATTCTGGCAGTTACCCCAATTAAATCATGAGTCTCAAGCCAAACTCTATGCACTCTAGTTCTTTAGAGGAGCCACGGCGTGTGGAGGATTGCTAGCCATCCTCTGATAATCCCCCCTCTGCCTTACTGTTGGTAACTCTAAAAAGACCATAGAAATATTTTATGAGTTGACATTCAGCTTCCCTCACTTCTTGAAGGTGACCCGTACAACACAAAAAGAAAACAAATTTATTGCTGGTATAGGACTTAGAATTGTGAAACCCTCCCACCCAAGACTTGAAAGGGGGCAAATGGGACAAAAATCCCTTTAACAGATATCTCGCTTAGCAACAGAAATGTTGGGCTCAATTGTATGTCGTATGTCGAGGACTCCCTGTAGTAACATTCAGCTTTTCTTCCCGCCACACTTTTCAAGAGAGCAGCCTTGCTTTACTCAAACGGGCCTTATTCATAATGTCAACTCATAAAACCTTTCTATGCCCATTTTATAGTCGCCAACAGAAAGGGCGAGGGGTCCTGCAAAGAATCCCAAAAATATTGGCTGAGAATTAAAAAATGGTTGGAAGAAATTACGAAGGAGCAAATTGAATTAAAACCAGAATTATTCTTATTAGGGATATTTAGGAAAAAACATGGAAAAAAAAGTTAAATACATATATTACATATATTGACAGCGGCCAGATTGGCTCAATGTTGGAAACGGCTTCACTCCATCAGAAGAATTTATAATTCAAAAGATAATGAGTTGTGCAGAAATGGATAGCCCTAAAAGATAAAGAATGATCAGAATATTACAAGATTTGGGATGGTTGGTGTGAATGGATTGAGCAAAGACAGACTATATAATAAATGGTATAGGTAGATTAGTAGTAGCTGTAGTAAATATATATTTGCATTAGATTAGATAGATCAATTATATATTATATATTGCACAAAACAATGTTACAAACAGGAAATCGCAAACTGTCGATGTTGAAAAGTTTTAAATTTTTTCTTTGTGTTGTTCGTGGTGTTTTAATTGTAAAATTAACAAGTTTATTCTCAAAAAAAGAAAAGAAAGTGGGGGGGAAGGAGTTTGAAAGGGCAGTGCAGCAGTTTGGAATCAAAAGTGCATTCCATTCATAGCTTTTCGGGGGTGACAGTGAATTACGTGTCTCAGAGTCGGCCACGTCCAGGTCATGGCGACATGTTAACTCCCAATAAATCCTTCGTAGTTTTGGAAGTTTGGCTTGAGACTCTTTGATTTACTTGGGGGTAACTGCTGGAATCCTGACAGCTAGCCGACCCCGAGACACGTAATTTACCTTATTCGGTTTTTAAGTTGGTATTTTACCGTCTCTGCACCTAATTTAGCACTTTGGGGATGAGAGAAACAGAGAAACGGAGCTTCCTGGGAAAGGTTAATTCCTTCCTAAGCTTTTTCCAAATAAACCGAAAAGAAAAAAAAAACCCCTTGCAATTTGCTGTTTTGCTCCATTAATAAAATTAACTGTAGCAGGAAAGTCAACAGCAGCAACAATGACAGCCAAAAATCCCTTAAGCTGGGGAATTTTCCTCTTATAGCTGATTTTGCTTCCATAATTTTTGGGCCAATCAGCATGTGTTTGAAGCTTGTATCTCGCTTTTTAAAAATATTTTTTTCTCCTCTACTTGTTTGGGCTTTAATTTGTACCTTATGAGAGAAAAAAAAAGTATTTTCTGACACCTGTTTGTGTTTTCTGTTCTCAGGGGGAGGCGGGGATATAATTCCTCTTAATCTACTTAAAGGATTTAAATGGCATATTAATATTATCCCATCTAGCTCTCGATGTTGTGCCATCTTAAGAGTTTGTAAAACAGAAGGTGCCATAATGTAGCTGCCTTCCGCATCCTTTAAACTGTCAAAGTTTGGGAGGTGTGAAAGGCAATCAACAAATTTAATTAATTGATTCCTTCTCCTCCTTTGAAGAACCCCTTGTTTTGTTCTTTGGCCAGGCTTTATTTTCTACCAAATGTGGCTTTAGGCTGTGAAATGACAATTTCTGGTCTCAGCCAGTCTTTGGATGTTGCCCGTGAACCAAGGTCCTTCTCCATAAAATTGTCCATGAACCAAGGACCTTCTCCATGAAACTACCCTGAACCAAATATCTTCTCCATAAATTGTCTCTGAACCAAGTATCTTTTCCATAAAACTGTTCCTGAATCCAGGACCTTCTCCCTACAACTGACCCTGAACCAAGGGTCTTCATAAAACTGTCCATAAAACAACAACCTTTTACATGAAACTCCCTTAACCAAAGACCTCCATAAAACTACCCTTGAACCAAGTATCTTCTCCGTAAAACTGTTCCTGAGTGTCTTTAGGCTGAGAAATGACAGTTTCTGATCTCAGCCACTTTTG